GAAATTGGTTTTCAAAGAAAACATAATTCTTTTAATAACATTTATTTAATCATGCAGCTGTAAAATGAACAAAAGTCAATCCTATTAGAACAACATACAGTATGCTACAATCATAACAGTGTTTCCAAAAACTGAAGCAATGTAGATAAAAAGAAGCAAGACATAGCAATACTCTACAGAAACTACACCAATAAACCCACTTATTTTACTGTATTTACTAACTCATTATAGTTACATAATTCAAAAATAAAATGTCATTACTTATAAATAACTATGTGCAAATTTTAATATATTTGTATTTGCTAAGGTTCCACAACAATAAAATCATGATTTACAGCAAACCATACTGCAGTAATGAAGGGAAGGTTTTCAATAGTACCCTAGATAAAATTTACTTAAACATAATTTTTGATTTACTCTTAAATTTGAAAATTCTTTTCAAGGATAATTTGATTTCTTGTGTTTGCAGAACATAAATTATTGGATTTAACATGGGTGGAATCACTGAGCTCAAAGACAGGTTTATGATCCTGGCATTTGGGTGTATGTTTCCWCCCATGGTAAATGTGATTAATATTGGGACAAAATTGATTGCAACTAATGAAAGATGAGCTGTGCACGTTTTAAAGGCCTTCATTCTTTCTTGAGCTGTGGCTACTTTAGACAAAGCATAGCCAATRCAAAKATAACTRCWCARGATGAYTGYAAAAGGWAKCCAAWAAARAAGAAMTKKAAARAAATARSCAATRRYAWMRYTRGGAWAATTATCATTACATGCAAGTCTGTATATCTGACCATGGTCACAGAAATAACTGTTAATAACMWCAGACTYACARAARGAAAGTCTGGTGACAAAACCAACTGTAATYAAAAGASAAATTATAACAAAGATCCAGAAAAAGCCAATCAAAGACAACATTACCCTATTGGTAACCTTTGTATGATACTGCAAAGGAAACATGATGGCCATCAGTCGATCATAACAGAGAACAACTAGATTAAGAGCTTGCATAAAAAGAAAAGTGAAGCTGAAGAAAAGAAATGTTAAACAGTCATTGTAGGGAATATTAAAGTGATCAAATAAAAAGATATCAAGCACTTTTGGCACCAGAGCAGTGCTTTCTGACAGGTCCACAAAGGCCAGGTTGAAAACAGCAATATACTTTGCAGTTCTTAGGTTATGATCCAGATATATTACAGCCATAACAGCTGTGTTTCCAAGCACTGAAACAATATAGACAAAAAATAGAAACACATAATAATACTTCACATAAGGTATACCAAGAAATCCACTKATTGTAAAAAAAGCAGGACGAATAAATGTGATATTTCTTCCAAGAGCTGAGTTGAAAAGGTCCATKKTGAAATAACTGTGAAACCTCTCGATGTACTCAGCAGACACAGACAACAGAGCTTATCTCTGCAAAGCTACATAAACAGCTGTGAAGCTCGAACAACCTTTAACTGGAGAGGCTTGTGAAATACAATTCGTGCAACTTGTCCCCTGAGTCAAAACTTTATGTGGCAMTAAATCATGCAGAATAAAGATCTTTTAAGACCTGTAYTGGACACATCTGTTCTACAGGTTAGAAAAACAATRTTATACAGTAACAACTGTGGTGTCAGTTAARTCATGTCAGATATTTGCATATCAGATCACTGTGTCTCTTGGTAATGTCTATCCAACAATAAACTGTTCTTCGTAGAAATCAGTGTATTTTTTCCTATGGGTTTTTAACTGTATATACAGTTCTTGTAAGGACTTGTTCACAGTCGGCTATATTTTCCTCTGTTCTATCAATAAAGGAAGGTGAACTGTATATTTTAAAAGGACAGAAGATAAGGCAACCCCAAGTCGTCACATGTTGATGTTTTTCCAAGGTTCCCTCTGCGTCCGATTTTGACATGTCGGGTACCCCCCTTAGCGTCAGTTATTGACGAGATGGGGTGGAATCCGTTGTCATAATTTCAGAAAATCTAGAAAATGCACAAAAACTAACTGTCCCAAAGCCTAAAATTATCTTTATTCACTCTAGACCAGGGATTCTTAACCTATGGGCCCCGCGAGTGCCATCTTGAGGGCCTCAAAAGAACAACAGTTTTTAACTTTGTGCCGCAGAGGGCCGTGGGACTGCATTGATTTTGAATAAGGTGCAATACACTKTCTCACYACTAGTAGTGGTAGTGCACCACTCAGATGTTTAACAACATTTTTTAATACATTGAAGAAGAACCTTAGAAACCTGCTGAGAATGGAAGCCTATTTTAGATTAAAAGTAGAAGTCAAAAATGAAGGTAACCCATCAAAAAATGCCAAAGTTTTTCACTAATATGAAGTGCAGCCTCTGGTTTTACCATGCAGTATTTTAAAAGTTCAAAACATTATCAAATACAGTTGCAGATACAGCTATATTTTAATTTGCATGTTAAATAATTTTTTGTAGTTTACTNTTCATGATATTCTAATTTTATGACCAGCACCTGTATACTCTTTAGACAAGTTCATGTATATTTGTTTTTGTTTAATCTTTATTRTGATATAAAGATCACACATTTATTGTACATTTTTCTAATGTTGGTATTTATATTTGTTTATTATAGACCACACACACATTACCTACTACTACCAGCTGTCTAACTTCTCATTAAAGTCTGCAAATGTCTCTCMGTGCCCATACTCTCTGACCGGAGTCCCTGTCCCAAGAAATTATCAGATCAGCAAATAATATTCAGAGTGCCCRCTCTAATTCATGGTCCTTCGAGSCGGATTTCATAGTCATCTGAAGACAATATGGAGTCAGAACAACCCTCTGCAKACCCAGCAGTGTGTCCTAGATCCCAGCAGGAGAGACATCTACCAGTGCATCTTGATGACTRKGAAGTTGGATMTCAACCTCAACCTGTCCCCAAATCCACAGCTCAGGCTCCAGCTTAGCCCAGAGCTCAACCTACAGATCAACCTACATTGGCTGTAGCTGCAACTACTGGAGCCATACCTCATAGAAGGACACCATCCTACCAAAGCCGCTCATCCACTTCTCAGCACAGTAGAGCTTTATCCCATCGTAGTAATGCCAAAACTCAGGGTAGTACCTGCTCGTCAATGAGGAAGTCCAACAATGAAGGACTGTCTGTTTCAGCAAAATTGGAGGAGAAAGTAAAGCACATGGAGTTAGCAGAAGTGCAGAGACAGATAATGGAAGAAAGCCTGATGAATGAACAGTACCAATGTCTGGACAAACAACCTCAGTAAAAGGGAGGAACTTTTAAGAGAACAAGAAATACAGAACTGCACGTTTGAAGAGGAGGCAGAGGCTGCATTAAAAGCTAAAGAGACAATTACCAGACAGCTAATGTTGCAACGCAAACTGAAAGAGAAGGAGATTGAATTAGAGAAAGCTGCTCTCATTACATCCCTTCTGATGGAGGACACAAGTAGCCTTGCTCCCTTCAGGTCACACAGCAAAAGAGAGTTCAACCCTCGTTTGCCAGCTAATGCTATGGGAGTACTACCATGACCCACATCAGTAGCTGATCCTACTGTCTCAAACAGCCCACCATTAACCCAAGTCCAATCGGCTCCCCAATCTCAGCCTCCTGCCACAGCAAGTCCGCTGACCCAGACACAGCTTACAAACTCCACTGCAGCTCCTCCTACCATGGCCTATGTAACTGTCCGTCAGCTGAGTTAAGCATCATCAGCAGGCGCCACCATACTACCTCAGGCTGCACCACATGCTTTTGCAGTAATATTACCTGACTGCAGCCGTGTATTAAGAGAATTGTTCAAAACACAGTTAATTGGAAGAACTGTAGATTTTAACCAATTCATAGAATAGTCAGATACTTTTGAAAAAGAGTTTATTAATTCTATAACCTTAGATAGTGTGTTTTCTGAATGCTGAAGAAAAAGCAAAACATCATCTACATAAAGACATTTTATGTTCTATGTTCCTACATTGTATGCCTTTAATTTCTGCAGCTTGCCTAATCGCAGCCGCAAAAGGTTCAACGAAAATAGCAAACAGTGAGAGGGATAGTGGACATCCCTGCCTAGTGCCTCTCTGTAAACAAAAGCTATTGGATGTTTGGTTATT